TTTTATCTCTCTAAGGCCACAAATTTTTCAAGACGCAACAATAATCAAATTAATTACTTAACATTAAACATCCAACCCTTTTTGTTGTTGATAGTAAATATTCATCACAAATCCACTACCCAATAACATATCTTGATAATTATGCAATAAACATTTTTAGGATTAAAAAAAAATCTTATCATCATAAGAATAATACCATCAATTTTTTTTTTAAATGTAAGAATAATTTATGGGTAAGCACAATAAAGCAAATATATTACTACCCATAGTTATTTTAGAGTTCAAGATATTATATTTTACAGATTGTTCAATTTTACATTTGCACATAAAATATTATATTTTGCAAATTTTACAAGTAATATGTCAATAATTTTAAATCCGGTTCACGTAATATCAAATCAGATTATATTAGTTTACAATCTAATCAAACAATTGGATCTTCTATTTGTTTATGTAGGGACAAATAGTAACATCTAACCACCCTATTTAATGGATTGTTTGCTTACAATTATGAAATAATTTAATAAAGTATTTAGTAAATCTATAATCAGGGGCGGAACCAGCCTTAATTTTCAGGGGGGGGGGGTGGGGGCAAGCTTATAATAACTGTCGCGGTGCAAGGGGGCAGCGCTCCAGCGGGGTTCGACTACCTGTTCGGTCGCGGGGTCAAGGGCAGCGCCCCGGAATAAATTTTGGTTGTAAGGATATTTTTGGAATTACAAATTTAAAAATAAATAAATGATGAATGCTCTTATAATAATTGTTTGGGGGCGATTGTCTAAATATCATAGTATTTTAAAAGTTTATAGGGGGGAAATTGCCTAAAAACCCTTATATAAAGATTAAAAAACCTAAAAAACTATGCAATAAAAAACAATTTAAATTATTTTTTTAAGGGGGGGGCAATTGCCCCCCCTCACCCAAAGGTGGTTCCGCCCATGTCTATAATCCATCTATATATAATTTAAGTCAAACATTCTTACACATATTTTTACGACTGATGACCCTGAAAAGCACACTCATCCATAATAATACAAATATTTGACAATAGAATTAATACAAAATATGTTACAGCACTCTAAGACCTTATTTAAGATGACTTTCTTACTGCTTTCTTAAAACAATTTTTTTTTTATACTAAAAATTTATTTTAAGAAGCAGTAAGAAAGCGTCCCAAACAAAGCATAACTTTCAACTTTTTCATTAGATTTATTTAAATAATTTTATATCTACTTTATGCATCACATGTCCTTTTAGTTAAACTAAATGTAAATTGTAGTATTTAAGTTTGTTTGATACAAATATTTAACATGACTCATAAGCATATTATCAAAACAAGGTGCATTTTGGAGGAAATTTAATATATATATGTTACACCACTTGTCACAATTTATGTATTTTTTATTTGAATGTAGATCTTATTCAGTCGGACATAAATGATTATATTTTATTTTCTTATAATTTTTTTTTTTTTACTTTTGATCATTGAGGTTCTTAGGTATTTGAATCAATTTGTAATTTGAACCAATGAGTTAAATCACTTGTTATATATAAGATCTTCTGGTTTTTAAATTTAACTTTCTTATATCTTCTTAAAATAATTTTTTAGTACAAAAAATTTAATTTAAAAAAATTTTATTCTAAAAAATTACTTCTATAAACAATAAGAAAGTAGTCACAAACGGAGCCTTAATGATAAATATGAAATGATGATGGATATAAATTTGCTTGTATGCTTAATTGATTAGAAGGCATGGGCATATTACATTTGAATATTTATTTGGATATCTTTAATATCTTCTTTTCATTTCTATAACCCTCTATAATAATCCTATAACATAAAGCACTTCCCACTCCCAAAAAAAGAAAAAAAAAACCATTCTATTTTGCCTATCATGTTTTTTTTTTTTTTTTTTTTTTTTTTTTAATAATAACAATTCTAACAAATATTTTTTGTAATATAAGTCAAAACGAAATCTTTCATTATATATCAATAATTTTAATTTTTTATGGATAATATTTCAAAATATTTGATCCTTTACTTGATGATAGTAAAACTTCTCAGGCGGCTAAAAAATCAAGTTTTAGGTTTCGTTTGATACAGTTTTTTCTATACTTTCAAAAACATTTTTTTTATATAAAATTTTTTGAACTAAATATTTTTATAAAAAATTTATTTTAAAAAGCAACAAAAAAAATGATTTAAAAACCATTTTTAAAAACGGGTCGGGTTCGGGTTGACCCGAACAGTGCCGGGTCAATTCCGGATTCGACCCTAACCCGACCCACTGACCTGAATTGACACCCCTAAGAGCCTTAATGATAAATATGAAATAATGATGGATATAAATTTGCTTGTATGATTAATTGATTAGAAGGAATGGACATAATATATTTGAATATTTATTTGGATATCTTTAATATCTTCTTTTCATTTCTATAATCCTCTATAAAAATCCTATAACATAAAGCACTTCCCACTCCCGAAAAAAGAAAAAAAATCCATTCTATTTTGTCATCGTGTTTTTTTTTTTTTTCAGAACATTTAGGCCAATTAAGACAGATTTAAACAGCGCATACATAAGACTCAAATCCAAATCCTCTTAGTTGATAGTCTAAAGCTCCCAACCAACAAATCAAGATGAGCTGTATTATCTTCCAATTTCACACCCTAATATTTTTTCATATGCTACTTTTTTACTAATTCTCCGAAAACTCATCCACTAAATTACCTTATACGCTTATTTTTTGTGACGAGGAAGCATTGTTCATAGGCCAATGAAAACTCCGATCGACCTAACATGCAACCCACACCAATTTACACGGGCCAACACTTAAGACTTTCATTGCTTGTTAAGGGATTCGAACCAGAGACCTAGGCATTGCCCAACCGGCTCTTCACCACCCGGACAAGCAACAATGGATCTGATACACTTATCATTTATTACACCCCTATAATTGACCTAAATAACTTTTTTGTCGGCTTCTCTTTAACTTTTTTTTTTCTGACTGGCCACCACACCGTTCTAATCAAAATCAAACATTGAAAAGGCTGAAGCAACCCATATCTTCAACAAGCCTTTTGTTCGTAACGCACCTTAAATCGCGTCCATTTGTGAAGCAGAAAATGTACCATGGAACATTGAAGCAATGACGCCGCATTCATCGGGTGCTGTTATTCCAATTGATTCGAAGTGTAGCTGTCAGCAATATCACGAAAAAAGAATGCATTCACTATCATATGAATCTGTATCTGCTATGAAAGTTCAGTTTGTTCCAATTTGAACCAAAAAAAAAACATCTTTCAAACGCTCTTTTTACAGTAAGCCATAAGAAAAATCACCAAATAACCCTTCTCCGTTCCACCTATCTTGTTCATTCATCCTACAGGCTTCATCACATTTACTTCTATTAAATAAACAAATCATATAGATCAGGACCAACTTCGAAGTTAAACCGAGTTCCAGGATAAAATATTCTGTGCGGAGTTCGGATGGTAAGTTCCAATCCGAACTGTGAGTGCACACAATACACTGAGTACAATTTTATACTTTTTTTACAATGTACAAATACTGTGTACACTCATAATCTGAACAGAAAGTTCCCGTCCAGACTCCATAATTTCAATTTCTACAATTCCAGATATGGGTATTCTCCAAAAAAAACACCAGACATGGTCATTCGTTAAACATATCAAATTTAAAGATTCCTAACTCAGCAGGAATTCACCTTTTATCCGAACTTCAAAATCGTAGCTCTATTTTAACGCTTTGTTCGAAGAAATGATTTGACACAGCAAACAAAAAAGTTCTCTTTGATTCCAGGAATGTAATAGAAATAGGTAGTTTAATTGCTTTGAAGCAACTTTATAGCCTATCTCGAATTAAACAATCAAAGCACAGATCATCTTCAAAATAAATATATTCATTACAATCAAGTGGTCCTCAGAAACTCACGTCCATGGACCATTCATGCCTACCGCTGTGCCAGTCAACAGTGACAAATATTTCATTAAAAACTGGTTGCAAAGAGAACTCTATAATATTTCATTGCTAAATATTTCAACCAGGGGTTTCTGCCTCTTATTTAAATCTGAGTCCTGGTTAATTCTTTTTGGAGCTCGTTCCTTTGAGATCGGATTTATGTCTTTGCAGGTTTCTGCTGATGGCCTGCTAATGTATGGTGATTCGTTCCTGGTATTCATTTTTTTGGGAGCTCGGCATTTAGATGTGTTGCTTCAGTCTTCTCTTTTTGGGCATTATAAAAAGCTGTTCTTTGATTTTACAATTTTGTAATTTCCTTCATTGGGTGGTTTAGTTGGGGTTTATTTTCCTTCATAAGTTTTTGTTTTTGCTTATGATTGGATTTCCTTACTTGTAATCTCCTTTACTTGTAATTTTTGACTTTTAATAGAAGGGCTGACGCCCCAAAATTTCCCAAAAAAAATTTCATTGCTAAATAATACGGACCTCAAGACAATAGGTTATATATATTCTTAGACTTACTCTTTGATGTCCCATTTATAAGTTATAAGTGAAAGAGGCAATATTAAATAAAAAAACTATATTAAAAGATAAATATACAAATAATATAATATGGCTTAATGAAATCTTATAGTCAATTATAATCATTTAATAATATGATATAAGTACTAAGGTTTTTCAAATATGAGCCGAGTCCACGTATAATCAATCATCATTGATTGATTAACCCAATCAGATTGACTCATGAGATCAACTTCTTTTAGCCAGACGAGTTGACTTGAGCTCGGCATGAACAATTTGTCATACAAGGCTACTTATGCTCCTATCCAATAGAGTTCGCATCCAACAATTAACGAGTGAAAAGAGACCATCATAAGCTGCATAGTCCAGATGCTGCTTTAGCTTTCACAGAATCCAGCCAAACAAAAATCACAATACAAATAATAGCAGCAAGATGCAAGCCCCAGAATATAGGAAATGAGTATTCAGCATCTAATTTAGTTCAAGATGAAGATGTGACTATAAACTCTTAAGGAAATCAAATAAGTATCACATTTTTTAGAAATTTTACAACAAAAAAGATATGCAAACCTGTTAAAAGTATAGTTGAATCATCGTATATAATCCTCCAACATGGAACAATTAACACAATGACCAAATTCTCACATATGAAACTGAAACTAAGATCACCAGCAACAAGTTAAAAGGTCATCATTACATGTAAAGAGAACTTGTGTGAATCCCAACGCGCGTAAGAAATGACCTTTTTAGTCTGTAACTGCCCGTAAATCACAAGTGCTGAAAATCCAAATGAATTTTATGTATGGCATACCTAAATTGTGAACAAAACAAACCAAAACTACTGTAACGGCAAAATTAAGCAACGTGTTGAGAATGCAGGCACGCCTCAGCTGGAATAAATAGAAGAAACTGGGGTTCTAGCTCAATGTAGTTTTACGGAGCTTTGCGTGAATAGAGCTAGGTGTGTAAATGAGTTGAGTTTTGACATAATCGAGCTTAGCTCATCAATCTGAAAGCAAGCTCGAGTTGAGCTCGACTCATTCCATTGTAAATGAGTTCGAGCCGCTCGTCTAGCCTCCGCGTCTACATCGCCCCGCCGTCAATGTCTACGTCATCCATTTGCTTACGCGTCATCCGAGTCGAATTCGCCGATCCGCTTACGTGTCATCCGCGTCGTCCCGCCGTCCAAGCTTGAGCCGCCGATTGACGCGACCTCCTCGAGCCACGCGACTGGCGCGAGCACCTCGAGGCTCGAGCGTTGTCCGCCTCAAGTAGGCAAGATTAGGCTATTATTACGCTTTTATTAGGCTGGTATTAGGCTGATTAGCCGGGTATTTTAAAAATAAAAAATATTTTAAAAATCATAATAGTGAATCGAGCCGACTCGTGAGCTTGAGAGCCGAGCCTCAATCAAGCTCGAACTCAAGCTGGGTTAATAAACAAGCTCGAATTTAAGCTCGAGTTCGACTCGTGAGCTCGATAAGCTCGGCTCGCAAGCCCATAAACGAGTTGAGCTCGAGCTAGCTCGCAAGCTGGCTCGGCTCATTTACACTCCTAAATAGAGCATTTGGGTAAGGGCGCAGCGCCACTATTAGCATGCAAGGAATTGAACTCATGTTTTAATTTTGATATAGTATTATTTCACTTTGACGTGGATTACACATGAGCCTAGAAACTTCCCCTTGACCATTTATGTTGTGAGAGCCTTCCCCAGCAGCAGGCTGGGAGACAACAGAGAAATAGCTGTGCTGGCTATCGTAGAATCTCTACTACTTGACAAAACTAGAAACCTGTTCCATAAAACCATACATAAATAAATGTTAATAAGGATGAATCTGAGAGCACTAACCGTAGAACAACCCATTAAGATTTCGAATATGTTTGCTTGAGAAAGAACCACCCTCAAGTAACATATAGCCTTATAAACAAAAGGGATATGCAGCTGAATTACGAAGGATATAAAATAGGAAGAAAACAAGAGGAAGACAAAACAACCATTTCTCAACCAGTTGTTGAATCATACGGGTATGTGCTGAAACCTCAAGCAAACAATATAGATATATTATCTAAAACTATTATCTTAAGAAAATTTGGCTGTACCATCTTAGGTGAGTGCCGTATGTATATTTTTTTGCACCTTAAAATGTACTCAACCCTCGTAATGTAGAGGTTATATTTATAAAAATAATTAACCCTTATTCATATTATAATCTGAAAACTATTATCTTAGGAAAATTTGGTTGTACCTACATTGGGTGAGTGTTGGATGTCTATTTTCTTGTTACATTATAACATTGTACTCATTCTTCTTTATAATAGAGGGATTCTCTAGTGAACTCAACACATAAGAAAATGAATTCCTCTCTAACATAACATTACAGCACTTTGAAAGAAAAATGGGATGAACTTTCTCAATATAATCCCTTTATTGTTGAGTTTAACTACTTAGCAAAAAATAAAAAAAGTAAAGAGTTTATTGTTGCCAAGTTCCTCCCCATCCATCCCTGTAATACATTCAAGTTCAATTGATGGCGGAGCCTACTGTCCCAAACATCTCCAAAATTCTCCCTTGTGTTATTCAGGTCACTGAGCTATTTGCTCCAGCATGATCATGTGACTCTTGCTACGGGGAAAAAGGCAGTCAGTCATCAGGGATGAGGTGTTTGTGATCGTGGTCATAGTTGTACTCGCAACTCTTTACACTATCAAAGGACAAATCACCCGTCTAAACATTCTTGAAAATAAAGTACATATGTCAATATGTATGTACAAAGTGCTCTCTTTTTTTTTTTACATGAGATTTTAAGTACGACATTTTTTAGCAAACTTTATGTATGACATTTCTTCAAATATCGACCGTTGATCGGTGATATGAGTCTTTGACCATCCATATCAATAAGTTAGTAGGCTCCTCCCTGGTACACCATTTCGATGACAAAAGAACCTTCCCAATTAGACTCAAATTTACCACCAATTTTTTGATATGGGATGATTGGTCTTCTCAACACCAGGACAAATTCTCCTTTTTGAAATGCTTAATGGCATACCATATTCTAAAAAAAAAGATCTTATTATCCTTGGCTCCTTGCTCGATAAATCTCTAAATTCTGCTGAGCTTGTAACCTGATTTCGTCTAATGCATCGTCCATCCTCAAGCAAGCAATGCATAAGGAGTGTCTTTGGTTGACGTCTTATAAGTAGTACGATACTCCCATAACGCTTCTATCATTTGGGTATGTTACTCTCTTTTGTTCATGGTGAGAATCTTCTTAAGCAATTTCATCAGTATTTTGTTGAATGCCTGATGCGGACATCGACACGAAGATTTGGCGCATCTATCACAGGTGGTGGGAAAAATTATGTATCACCACACAGATTTTGATTTCTCCTATTTTGTAATCAAATACTACATTAAGAATAAAGTACAATATCAAAAGACTGACACAATACTCTATAATGGATTCAATATCAAAATAGGGTTTTAAAAATTGATATTTCTATAATCAAACACAGTTCAAAGAATAACATATTATTTCGAAAGATAAACATGAAATTCTTAAGAATTGTGTTAAAACATAGAAATAGAATTTTTTAAAAAATAATATTCATTCTTTATTTAAATATAGCAAGGAGAATATTATATCATCTGAAAGACGGAACATAAAATTCTTCAAGACATCCAAAAGCAATAATGAGTTTTATAAAATTCATCATTTCTAAAGTTGAATATATCAAGTAGAAATTATATTATCTGAAAAGACATAATAACATCAAAAACATAATTTAAGATAATAGAAAATGAAGTTTTTAAAGATATACTGCGTTCATCAAAATTATCCCCTTTGTTTATATGAATACAAACAAGGTTTATTTAGTCTGGGGTTCTCAAATCCCTATAGGAGCAAGCTCCTATAGTTAATTACATCTAGGAGGAATGCTCCTAAGAAAACTCTCGATTAAAATGTGATTTCATACCCTTTTGACTACAAAGTAAAGACAAGGAACAAAAGTAAGGATTTTCCAAGGAGAAAGCTCAATGTTGAACATTTATTAGCGAGTTAAAGGAAAAAGTAGGAGGAGCCGGATTTTTGAGAAGCTCAAGGCAACCTCAGTCTATCCAATGTTGGGCTTTACATTTTAAGAGAGAAATTTATATTTAAATTGACATTTTATTAGAAGTTGGGATTATATTCCTAGAGGGCGAGGACTTAAGATCTAAAAAGAATCTGCCTCAGAACCTAAATCTAATTTGGGTACTATAAAATAGTGACCAAACCTAATTAATGGTGCAAATCTGGACTTACCCCGGCCTGGATGGGGAGCCAGCTAAACACTAGGCGCTTTAAAATCATGTGTACGTTCTTATAAAAATGGGTTAGGACGTACTTAAAGTTTTAAGAAATTGGGGCCGACATCTAAGACAGTCCTAATTAGCCCTCACTTATGTAAGGTGAGTTATGCTAAAAATGCAATTAATATTTTAGACTCTTTTTAATTTGTATCTAATGCAAATGCATGTCAATTGACTCAAATGCATAAAAAATGAATATGAATACAGTTTAAAATTAGGCTTAAAATAGGTTTTCTTAAAGAGATGCAAACCTTCCCCTTGACAGAACTGCACCCTCATAGGTCAAGTGGTCTGCCAGAACCCGCAGACGGGGAGATGCCTAACAAGGAAGATAAAGTATTAATATGCTTATTCTGACTCTCGGCGGTCCCGAGCTTACTTCTTAGATCGTTAGAATTACTATGTGAGCCTAAAAATTTTTATTAGGATTACAAGTAGAAGAATTTTATTCGTGCCCTTACTAAAAAAAGCACTCTAATTCGTATCCAAGCTAAAACAAAACCCGACATGCAAGGGCCCTAAAAAAAGCTACTGCGCAAACAATATAAACAATCAAATTTAATAATCCAAATATAATATCCAATGTTCAATGTCCATATAATTACATCCATAATTTTGCAGAAAAGTAAAGTGGCCGGGCACCACTGACAACAAACTCGGATTCTAATCCTAAGAATGACGCAAGTGATTTTTGAAATGGGATATATTCTTTCATGTATCTTCATTTCTTTGTCTTCTTTCTTCCGTCTTCATTTCGTCCTTTCTTCTTCTACGAGCTTCTTGGATCCGCCGGGTCTGGATATCCAAATAAAAAAAAACTCATCCCTAAAAGAGGTATTTTTTTTTCTATTTGGATATTAAAATCATCCAAATTTGGCTTTTCAAATAAAAGAGAATAATCATTTAAGGTATATTCTCCTTTCTTTGGATTCCAAATTGGATGTAATATCCCACTTTCAAAATCACTTTCACATTTTTCAAACACATTTACATTACATTACATTACACAGAAAGAAAAAGAAAATCTAGACCACCTGCGGGGTTATCCTAAGCAAAATCATCCCAAACAGTTATATATTCTCATTTAAATTAAATCAATTAGCCACACTTGGCCACACTCTTTTTTATTTGGGGGCTAAGCAGCTGAAGCACCTGTAGCATTTATATGATTATTAATTAATTAGCCCCCTTTACTGCCCTGCACAAGTATGGCCACCTGCAGGAAATCTTATTAACAACCAGATCGCTCCTAACCTATGGGTAATCTAATCGTCAATCAAATCATATCACAGAGTGCAGTAAAAGTAAATAAACAAACACACCAACAATTTTACAACCAACATGCAGTGAAAACCGAGAAAAAGCCCGTCACACAGCAGTAAGAAAGTAAACACCGGCCTAACCTAAAACTAGAGTCGGTTGTCCTAACAAACAAATCTAAGTGTGTGTAGTAAGCTATGAGGTTTTGATATGTCCTAGGTCAATTATTAGATAAAGTTTTCTAATTGATTGAATTTTAATTTAAAAATATTCACTAATTCTAAGGTGAGGTGTCACTAAATTTTCTACGTTATATGTTTCTATTCTATAGTGTGCATGCATCCTAAGTCTAAGTTTTCTAAGACTCGGTCCTTAATTATTGTCCTTAAGTGTCACTAGTGTTGTATAGGATGAAAAATTTTGTTATCACTAACCCTTAGGATATTGCGCACATGTAAAAGGGTTTAAGAATCTAAAATCAAATAAAAGTAAACCTAATAAAATTGAAGTTACTACAGGGATCTAAAAGGAAAGAGTTCGCGCAAACCACATCAAGGGGTCCCTAAAGGTTTTCTAAGTTTAGAATACTCACAATCACCGGGGGCTAAGACCCGGTGGTTCCGCCCGTAGCACCTCTACCCGGCTGGATAGAGGCGACTGACGCCGTTAGTCCCTCGTACATTTGTTCCCTCGACCCGTACCATTCCTCGCAGTTTATGCCAATAAAGAAAAAGAAAACAGTGAATTAGAAAGTACATATAATAAATAATAATGAAATAATTGAGATTTACTAAAAACAAAGACGTACCTTTCTTCGGGCTTGAACACCGGTCTGATAACTTTGATTTTGAACATTCCACTTTTAAACTCTTATTGTATATCTTTCCAACATTCACTCCGAGGCACAAGAAAGGAGAAGTAAAAGGGGAAAGAGAGAGGTAGAGAGAAATAGAGCCTTTGATTTTCAATGCTTTCATTTTTAATAAACACACAACTAACTCGTTTCCCAACACAAATGGTTTTTCATCTCATTTATCAAAACTCATACACTCTCATACACAAATATTAGTTCCCAACACATTTCACTTTTCGCAAAATTCAAACATCTTACTTTTCAAAATCGCTCTTATACTTTTCAAAACATACACTTTTCCACTTTTCAAATCACCTATAAATTTC